AACATTCTTCAATGGACACATAGGTTTTAGCGTTCTCGTTACTTACTCGTGGTTAAATTAATTACGTAGGGATTAAAAGTCAGGTTGACCTGTGGTCGTAGATTAAGAATAACCACAGTACAGCTAAATTTATCGTGTTAAATAATTCTTTTTACACGAATCAAAAATGTATTCAACGTTTGTCTGTTATAATATCGTGAAATGAATTATTTGTGCAGTTCTGTGCATTTTCTGTGCAGTTCAACCTAATCTACTTAAATTTACATTGCGAGACAGTATACTGTAACAAGTAGTAACAAGCAAACGTTGAATAAATTCCTAATTCGTATTAAAAAAATTATTTAACACAATAATTTCAGCTTTATTATGATTATTCTTGATAAATGACCACAGGTCAACTTGATTTTTAATCGTTATAATCTTTAAATTCAGTGTGAATAGAGAAAATGTGTAATATAATTCATTTCACGATATTATAACAAACAAACATTGAATACATTTTTCATTCGTGTAAAAAGAATTATTTAACACGATAAATTGAGCTGTACCATGGTTATTTTTAATCTACGACCACAGGTCAACCTGATTTTTAAACCCTGCGAAATTAATTTAACCACGAGTAACTAACGAGAACGCTAAAACCTATGTTTCCATTGAAGAATATTGTAAAAACGTATAAATTGTTATATGCAATGTTATAACAAATTGTTAGAAGTATAAATTTATACCAAAAAATTGTGAGAATTAATAAATTATACGTTATTATAACATTACAATAGAATGCGAAATAGAATTACGAAAGAATCGGCGATTTTCTGCGAAAAATAATTGATTCCCGCGAAAAACGAAGGATTTCCCGCGAAAAGTGACCGATTCCCGCGAGAAATTATCGATTTCCCGCGAAAAGTGATCGATCTCCCGCGCAAAGTAGTCCGTTTCCCGCGAAAAGTGATCGATCTCCCGCGCAAAGTAGTCCGTTTCCCGCGAAAAGTAGTCGATTCCCGCGAAAAATAGTCGATTCCCGCCCGAATTATTAACGACTTTGCTAATGATTTTGGGGAAGGGGTACCACAGGTATAAATAGACCCGCGAGCTCCCGCGAAATCATTTACCCTTTATACTGGGCCCTAGACACTTCGCGTAATTTTGATCTGAGGGTACTGAGAGGTGAGTAGGGTGGTCGAGGGCTACTGGCTAGCAGCCTATGTCCACCCTATACACACTCAACTACCTTCTCTCAAAATTTCTTTCTCAAACTTACTATTAGACTTTGAATACTCTGCTTTGAATTTTTCTTTTTCTTCAATTTCAATCAAATCACTTCTCTAATTATTGAAACTTAAACTTAGACTGTTCAAAGTCTAATAGTCCACTATTTACTACTGAACTACTGCTACTTTTTGCTTGAAATAAATTTAAATAATCCTTCGGGTCGTTAATACACGCGAGAAAATTATTATCGAACGTATTTCGAGATTGTTTTGAGGGTTTAGGGAAATCGAGATTTCAGTTTGTTATTGTTGTTCTTCGTACTTGTCGAATAGGATATCGAAATGAATTTGAGAGGTTGCCTAATGAAAATATTTCGGCGTTTCAGCTGTCCATTAATGAAATAAATTTTCGTTACAGGTTATTTCTAAATTTAATATGTACTTTTCTTCCAGCAATCTATAATTTAATTTTCTTTCAGTATTTATGATATTTTCTATGCTATTGAAAAATGAATTTTGAATTTGTTTCATGAATTGTGATTTACTAATCTAATTCTTCGCAGGAGTTGCATGAATTTTGCATGTTAAGTAGTTAGTTACATTATTGAATTGTATATTGTGAGCTGATTTGCAACGAGTGCACTGTACTCGTTGCACTATGCCCCTAATTAAACCGTCCAAGTAGTTTACCGTGATAAATCAATTTTCAATTTTGATAAATATTAGAGTCAGTGCAACGCGTATTGAAATAATAGCTTCATCCTTAGTTCGCTTATTATTGAATATTTTTCCGCGTTTAACTATTTCCTCCCAATTCGCGTTTTTGCTTTTCTTTCAATTTACTCGCGTTTATTTGATACTTTCTTTCAATTTTTCACTCGCGTTCTATGAAAGTTTTGTTCGATAGTAGAGTCTAAAGTAATATAAATTCGCGATTTCTCCCCCTCTAAATGAATCGCGTTTCGAAGCACTTTTCGCGTCGCCCATTCCACAGTGACTCACAAAGTGTGAGTCTGTGAGTCTTGGGAAATCAACGCTTGGAGGAAGGATGACCATCTGAGAGGAAGGAAGGAAGGAAGGATGCAACGAAATCGACATTGCAGAGCCCAGCTGCCTAATCTTCGAATTGTGAGTGACAAAAATGGGTTTTTTTTCTGGTGATATGGGTAGTTAGTTGTGTTATATATTGTGCTGCCCCTAATTAAACCGTCTCACTAGTGTTTCGCAATTAATAATCGATTTTTACGAGAAGTTTTCAATTTTTCAAAATATTAGAGTCAGTGAATCGCGTATTGAAATAATAGCTTCATCCCTAGTTCGACTTATTATTGCATATTTTTCCGCGTTTATCTGATATTTCCTCCCAATTCGCGTTTTTGCTTTTTATTCAATTTACTCGCGTTTATTTCATACTTCTTCACTCGCGTTCTATCAAAGTTTTGTTCGATAGTAGAGTCTAAAGTAATATAAATTCGCGGTTTCTCCCTCTCTAAATAAATCGCGTTTCGAAGCACTTTTCGCGTCGCCCATTCCACAGTGACTCACAATTCGTGAGTTTGTGAGTCTTGGAAAATCAACGCTTGGAGGAAGGATGACCATCTGAGAGGAAGGAAGGAAGGAAGGAAGGATGCAACGAAATCGACATTGCAGAGCCCAGCTGCCTGTCTGCGAACTGTGAGTGAATTTTTTGAGGGTTTGGTGATTGGTTATATATGTGTGTTTATTAGCTTCATCCCTAGTTCGTTTATTCCTGAATATTTTTACGCGTTTAACTTATACTTCTCCCCAATTCTCGTCGCGTATTTTATTCAAATTTTCTTATATTCTAAAATCGAAAAAGATATGAATTTGCGTTTTTTCTTTTGATTCTTTCAATTGTATTACGCATTATTGCAATAATTTCTATCGTTACATTTAATTCTAATTGTTTAGCAGCTTTTCTGCTGCTATCGACCCTACATTTTACTGACACTTGTGGAATCGACCCTACATTTTTTTTTTTCGTGGAGGTATGCCGACCCTACATTTTACTGATATTTAAATCGCTTGGTTGCCTTGACTAACGTTTCATGCTTATCGTTTATTCGCTGTTCTAGTCTACGTTCGGCAGTCTACAATGGCGGGCGCGAGGCTCGAAAACGTAGTCCCTGACTCTATGAGTGTCAGGTTTAGCTTCCTTGCGGTCTGACAGTTGTGGAGAATATACTGTTATCATCTTAAGGGACGTCTTTGAATCAAAACATTCGATCAGTTCACTGATAATAAAATAATTTAAGGTGATCACGTTTTGTGGTTCACCCTGTATACTACTCTTATAATTATTTTTGTTAATTTGCAAGATATGAAAATTCGGATTTATTCATATTTTGTGTCCGACTGTGTAGACCACACGCGCAAATTTACACGAGAATCATTAAATATTTTCCACGGAAAAAGGTAATAATGTTGCCTCGACTCACGTTTCATGCTTATCTTTTATTCGCTGTCCTTGTCTACGTTCGGCAAACTACAAAGGCGGTCGCGAGGCTCGAAAACGTAGTCCCTGACTCTACGAGTGTCAGGTTTAACTTCCTTGCGGTCTGACACTTATGGAGAATATACTGTATTCTGCGGGCGCTCAAATAAGGAAGTTAAAAATGTAATCCAATTTATTCTACTTTACATACATTCTATTTATAATCACTTATTGATAAAAATTAATTCCAGGTAGATGTTTCAAAAAATTCTATTCCTTCAGTTTTTAGTCGATTAAGCATAGGGCGATAGATGTCTGGGGTAAATGGAAGAACTACACCTCGCTGTTGAATTTCACCTGTTAACAAAAATAATGTAATGTAAATTTATTACATTATAACATCACGAAACTTATTTATGAGTAATGTAGAACGAACATAAATATTGCATCGCAGCAAAAGTTAATCTGTACCAAAAATATAGTTATTCTAGAAAGTTATGAGTATAGCAACAGACCATCGCACAGTGTTTCGAGTATATGGATTTTAGGAACTATGATCATAGTTTAGCATTTGTTCAAAATTTAAAAAATCAATTATATATTGTTTAATTCTTGAAGTATAAAAAAAAATTACATATCTGTTTCTTAGAATAAGTCAGAATCGGACTCAGAACATGAATTAGTGTTTGTATAATATATGATGATTGTATACAGAGTGTCCAATTTTAATTTGTAAATGCGAATTACTCGTACACTACCCGCTGTATTAAAAATGGTTCAGAGAGGTACTTTTCGGTACTTTTTTTAAAAGTCACTTCGAACTTGATAAATTTTTGCATAAAAAGTTAGGATAATTTGTTACTAAATATTGCATTAACATTACTCACCTATTTCAAAGTAATTACAGTATTGAATTCAACTTATAAAAATCAAATTAAATATTCCAATGTTCTGCCAGTAACACATTTTTGAAAAAATGCACTGTGATTTGCAATAAATTTCCGGTCTCAATTTTGAAAACGGATTAGTACATTTAATAAAAATTCGGGCACTATTAAAACCTACGTTTCTATGCTAACATTTTTAAAAATTTGTCGATTATACATTTCGCATTTTTTATTTTTGTCCACTAATCGGAACATTGTGCATAAAGTTAACGGTCGAACATTTCACGATCAGCTGATGGATCTATGGTCGCGACAATCGAATGCATTTATACAGAAACGACGCGAAGCTAACGATAATCGTTAAGAAAAACAATAATGTGTAATTTTTATCGAAATATGCTCAGAATTATACCGTCAAGGATCATTTTAACTGCAATAGCTGTTGGATATCCAACTGTGCGTGCCATAGCGGAGTAGCCTCGTGTTTCCCCATACAACACCAAATTAATTCCTCTCTTTTCTCTTCTATTGTCGGGCCACAGTATTCCAATATCGTGTCTTAGAATTACTAGATCACGTTCATTTTGGTCGTAGAATAATTTTTTCGACAAGTAATGCGTTAAAGTATCAAGTGGAGTATTTAATTTTAACACTAAATCTTCCTGAAGGAGTCCCAACGACTCAATAGTTCGCACGCCTTCTTCGGAATTTAGCATTTCTGCTAATTTTCTTTTTAAATTTTCGTAAAAGATATTGTCATTTGCCAAACCAAGTAAATTACATATTAGCACCCTCTGAAACAAACAAAATAAGTGAATTCAGGTAATTTATTTAAAATTTAGTTAAAATAGAGATGTAAAATAATACTTATTCTTTTACCAGCATATTCATTCAATTGTAAAATGTTAAAGAAACTAAATAATCATGCAAAGCATAGAAATTTGTAGATACGTGTCTTTATATGATTGTTCGTTATGTGTTTGTATTTTGTATATCATTGTAATATAGAGAGTGTTTTACAACAACATATCAATCAAGCAGGGAGTGTTATATTTTTATCGAATAAGCGTAGATGTGTAATTTCGCTTCGTTTCTTACAATTAGGTGCAAATCCGGTTGTTTTCGTAAGATTTCAGTAAAGTGTCGGGTAAGAAATTGTATTAAGTGTAGAAATGAATTCTTTCCGACTTTTGGATGCAATCGAAGTTTCATTTAGAAAAATTGAAAACAGATCAATCATCGAAATAATTTCGTTAGTTAATGAAATACTAACAATTAATCCTAGAACTGCTTCGAACCTACAAGTCGGAAAATTGTAAATTAGAATCATTTCCCTTCTGGAAAAAATTCTCAAAAACTTATTTATTTTCATCATTGAAAATCATTGCAATATGCGCCATAATCAATCCAGACGTAATAAAGAGTGTACGGGCTTTGGTAATTCGCCGATTCCAATGTGTATCGATACAAACGGGCACCATTTCGAACATTTATTATAACCTAAGATTTGTTGCTTACTCTTTTATTTATTGTCTAATAACCTTGTATTAGGGGTCGATGAAATCATCTTCAAATGTTATACAAATTTTTCAAAAAACAATTTTTCTCCGGTTCATGTGTAAGAAGTATGGGTTCGGGGAACTCCCCTTAGTATTTTGCGTGACAGCTCGAGACTCAGGACTTCTAGGGTTAAAGTTAAACAGAGTATATATTTATAAATGTAAAGCACTCACACATACAAGGCATTGGTTCCGCGGTTAAGTGTCCATCTATAAATTCGATAGACATATAAGTTCGTGATACATCAGTGCGGTTTCTTTTTTTTTTTTTTTTTAATGGAATAATGCGATCCTTTTTATATCATTTATACGAATAGTTTCGATTATCACAATCTCCTGACCTGAAACCAAGTGGACTATAACGAAAATTCAAAGGAACAAATTTGGAAAATAAATCCAGAGTGTTGGAAGATGATTCTCGAAAAATTACTTAAGCCGGTTGAAAGATTATCAGATCTATGTATATAAAGCTATCATTAGGAAGCTAAGAGGATAATTTGACGAAAAGACGTTAATATTAATAACGAAATTTAATAAATATCACACTAGACTCGTTATATTTTCCATTTCTAGTACTTATGTACCGATAAATATAACGGTTACCCATCCGCGGTGTACATCGGGTAACAGTAATGCGGGGGGCACGCCCAATTTGAAGCTTAATAACTCAACAACAGCTTATGCAAAATACGCGTGCAGGCAGTGTTTTGAAAACGGTTCGACGTCAGCTACGTTATGTGACTCACTGGATATACATATTACGCACGTGCGTTCGTTCATACAATTTTTAAACCTACGGACGAAATACACCGTCTCTTGACATGTTCTGCATCCATTGGTGTAAGTAAGGTTGCCCGGCCACAGGGGTATTTTTAAATGTCCATAATCAACATATTCGCTGCCACCAGAAAATCGATAACACGCTGAGCATTCTCGGCCGCATATGGTACGTTGGTGGCAGCGAACGTGTTAAGAAATGAAGCATCAAACGCAATTTTGTTATTTTTATAAGTCAGTTACTGAATGCATGTGAATTTTTCTGTCGACATTCCTAGTATGCGTGAGCGTTTTTTGTGAAGACTCTTGGACGAGACAATAGTGGAACGCGTACGGATTCTTTTGTGGATAATCGCGGTGTGTGTGAGTGTAAATATTTTTGTGGACAAACACTCATGAATTACTTGTTTGTCTACACTAATGTACTAAAAGTAGAGGTGTGCGAGAATCCGAAAATATCGGGTCGGGTCGAGACGGGAATTTTTTCCGGGATCGGGATCAGTTCCCGAAAATTTCGAAATTCCCGATAGTGTCGGGATTCTCGAGAATGTCCGGAATTCCCGGGAGAGACGGGATTCATATTATTAGGACAACGTTCCTGCGCTTTTTGTTACGATTTATGGAATTTATGATGTCTGTGTGTCAGTAACACGGATACTAGGATTCGTGCGATTTGATGTAAACAAAGCAACTGCGTAAACATTGTGTGCGCTGCAGTTTTCGAAAACGCCTAAAAGGTCGAAAAATTGAAATCGCGGTCGTGTTCATTAAAGCAAGTCTCGAAACGGCAAACGGGTTCTCAGAATTTTCAGGAATCTCGACATTTTCGAGAATTCCGACACTTTGGGAATCACCGAAATTATCGGGAAACCGAACCGATTTCTTCCCGAGCATCGGGTTCTCGCACACCTCTAACTAAAAGAAACATTAATCCTCTTCACTTGGAAATTCCATAGAACGGATTTTTATACGCTTTCAATGGATTTTGGCGAATAAGCAGATTTAATGTTCAATTGCTGATTTTTTCGAGGACCGGTGAATGCCACCCCTGCTGTGACTTATCGTAGATTCGTCGATGCTATACGAATTGCATGTCCCAAGCTAACTTTTGTTTACAGATAGAAATAAAGCTGAATTCTAAATTTTTTGATTTTTGATTTTCGTCTTATTTTCCCATTTAGAATTACTCTTTGAAATTTCTCCCAGCTGTTTCCAAACACCCTGTATAGATATATTTGCTTATGTAATTTTTCTGTACGTACCCATGTAATATCTGGTCCGTTTGGATGCAAACTTGGATGAGGGTTAGGGTTAGTTAGTCCAAGACATTGTAAAACTCGTATAGTACTGCAAAATCCTTTAAACCTTAATGTACCTCGCAGTACTGTATTAGCAGTATTAAGTCCGTATAAATCTTTATAAATTGTACTATCTCTGTTGGGAAAGCCTTCCAATGCAAAACCAGGCAAAAAGTCCAAATCCTGGACCGCAGACATGAGACTTCCATCTGGTTCAATTTCTACAACCTTTAAAGTGCACATTCATTTGGTTAGATGTCATTTAATGTTCGAGTGTACATACGTGGTTCATATAGTGTTTCAAAAGTAATATGTGTAATAATTCAGTGCAATATTCGCATATAATATTGTAAAATGTAGATTAAATTACGGTAAAGGACTCAAATAACTTTCCGTCCGAAAACGTTATGTGGATTATAGTAATCGAAGAGAGATGTTTTATCATTGAATCAAGGAAGTGTTAACCACCTCTGTTTCTCTTTTCTTCTAATTTTTCACAAGTCAGAAAAACAAACAAAACTTTCCACAGCTCGAAACATTCCTTTTCCACAGTGTTGTGACCTCCTATCTTTCGCTAGTGTTAAAACATTAGTTGGGTGCAAATGGAAATTAAATACAGGGTGTCATTGACTTTGTGCAACAATTTGTAGTAATATTTCAGAGCTTGTGTTTCGTCACTTACCTGTTAACTAGCCCATATTTCGAGCTTAACTTGTATGCTACAAAATGAATCGCGTTTGTTTGAAAAAGAGAGGCATGTAATCAACACAAAGTGTAGTAACAATTTGAACTTACTTGTCTATTGCAATAGTATTTCGCTGGTGCCAATGTATTCAACAATACTCCCCGCGGTGACCAACTAAATTTATATCGTAATGGATTAAAGGAACATTCTGGCGCAGGTAAGCCGCCACACCAAGATACAAACGATTCTATTTTTCCACCAGCCTGTTTTACATTATCGAAACATTCCAGGGCTAAGAAATGATCAATACCAGGATCTAGTCCTACTTCATTAAGTATAGTTACTTCCGCTGCTACAGCCCTGATAATGTTACAGAATACCTTATATTTGAAATTGTAACTTTAAACGCATAATTAATTCCAATAATCATATCGTTCATACTTTCATTATTAGTTACATCACCATCATCGTCATTAGCATTAATAATTATATAATGAAACTTTGAAAATGTGTTATAATGATTTTGTTAATACATATTAAAGTAAACACTTACTCTTCATGCAAGGCTTTAACATCTTCATTCGTGTAACTTGCTGTTACTAAATGAGTTTTAGCATGTATGCATACATTTGCAATGACATGATGCAGGGAATAAGGTAGCAATGAAACTACTACATCTGCAGATTTGACAATCTCGCTTAAGGTATCAGGCCGTTCCAATACATTTAATAAAACTGGTTCCACGCCGGGAAATTTATTTGCTAACACGTCTGCCTCCTCTTTTAATTGAGATGCAACAATCAAGTGTATGTTACTATTTCTATGTAAATATTCAACCAATGGGGCCGAAACATGCCCTGCACCCAGGACCACAACCTATTTACAAAGCAATGATTTTTAATATTTTATTACGAGTCAAATTTATGTCTGAATACGCGATTCTATCACTAGCGTTCTATCAAAAATGCGGTTTCTTCAAATTTGAAGAAACATATATAAAAGGATGGATAATATTGATAACTGAAGGCTAATAAGGTGAATATGTGTTACATATTATTGTACGTGGTGCTACCCAAAAACTTCAGCGATTATGGAACTGCTAGAAAGACAGCAGGACCCTTTGTAAATCCATGTGCCCGGTTTTGAAACGATTAAGGAAGAACATTCGACGCAAATGTTCACCCAATTCCATACTCTTCACTAGACTTCGTCTCTTGCGATTTTTTCCTGTTTCCCAAGATGAAATTCCGGATGGAATCGCAGGAGGTACTCAACGCACTCACAATTGACGACTTCTGAGGAGAAAAATTGCTGAGATTGCTGTATACATGTCCAAAGAGACTACTCCGAAGTATTTTGGCCAAATTTCCAGAATTTTTGGGCAGCACCTCGTACATATACATGTACATGAGTTCATTTGATCCGTTTTGCACTAACAAAAGCGCATAGTGGTCCCGAGCAGCGTACTTTTAACGGAGCATAACAGAAAATTATGTTTTTATTGTGTCAAAACAACGTTATACAAAGTGTTTGACAGCAGTTGATAAAAGATTCAAGGTGCCAAAAAAAGATGAAAATCAAGAATAACAAAATTGCATTTGTGGCTTTGGTTTTTAGTTATTGACATTTAAAAATGTCCCTGTCACCCTGCAAACCTTTCCTACACCAACGAATATAGAGCACGTCAAAACACGGGGGTAGAGTGATCCTCAAAATCAGGCACACATTTAGCTGGCAACACAGACGAGGTATAGGATCACCACAGACGAAGTGTAGAATAGACATATCACCTTATTTATGTTATAAATATAATGTAATGACCTGCAAACCTTTCCTACACCAACGAATATAGAGCACGTCAAAACATGGGGGTAGAGTGATCCTCAAAATCAGACACACATTTAGCTGGCAACACAGACGAGGTATAGGATACACCTATCACCACAGACGAAGTGTAGAATAGACATATCACCTTATTTATGTTATAAATATAATGTAATGTGTAACTAAAAGAAGGAGGTTAAAATAAGTGCTATGTTCGCTTATCGCGTTGAGTAGCTGCTCAAAAGTTTCGTTTGCGTTGTCGAAATGATTCTGTAAGGTCGTTTGTAGCATCAAATGTCACTGTCTGCTTCTCTATGACTTGTACGAGGTAAGCTGCCGGTCCCTGTGTTCTTGGTTCTGGTAGGATCACTGATCCCCTGTGTCTTGACGTGCCCTACATATATCGGTGTAGAGAGGTTTGCTCGGCTACAGGGATATTTTTAAACGTTAATAACTAAATAACGGAGCTTCAAACGCAATTTTGTTATTCTTGATTTTTGTCTTATTTTGACTTGTAGAATCACCCTTTAAATTTTCTGCCAACTGTTGCTGAATATCCTATACATATATGTATAGGAAATTAGGCAAGAAAATGTGACACTGAAGATACTGCTGAGAAATTAAAATCCTCTCTCTAATATACCTAATAGTGTTGTTAATACCCGCTGTATGGAATTTTTTCGAAAAGATATTTGCTCTAAATATATAATATTTCCATACCGTTTTGGTTTGTGCTTCGTGTTTGTCCGCTTTATGTTTACAACGTTGATTTAGCGATCTCAGTTCTTGAATATATTCAAAATTGGGAGTTAGCTGTCCATTAGATGCTATTATCGCACCATGTACTGCAGTACTAAAATTATGCTCTTCTAGTGGTACCCTCGCATCCGATCGAATAATATCCAATGCATAAGGATACAAGAGGTTCCCAAAGAAATCTGTAGATTCTTTTGGAAGTTGTGTTGGCATATTGTCAATTGAACAGACTAATACTCCAGGTCCTTTAAAAGATTTTGTATCCTTGTTACGATCAGCGTCATATAGACAAAATGGTGTATCAATCGTTGTGCATTCGTTCATGAATCTATCAACATTTCAGGAAACAAAATATTTCCAATTAAAGTTTACACTTGTTAAAGGATGATATGTATTGCGTGACAAATAAAAAAATATGTAAAAATAAACTAACAAAAGATAATTGCATTAAATAAAATTTAACTGAAAGTTACTTTGCAACGTTCGACTACATGCACATTTATGTTGCATTTAAGTCAATAACTGTTGAGGAATACAATAATTTCTTCAAAACATTCAACATGAAGTTTTCAGCATTGGGAGACTTCAATGCGAAACAATTATTGGGGCTTTCGAATAAATAATCCTAAAGGCAACAAGCTATTGCAGTATATAAACAACCAATTAAAGGTGCACTGATCAGGAAAATTTACGTAGTGGCCAACGGACACAAACAAAACACCGAACATACGTGACATAGTAATTAATGATTACTAATCAGTAATAAAAAGCTTGGCATAAAAGCGAAAGAGTTACTCGAACTATCTTCAGACCACGCACTCACAATTTTCAACCTCGAACAAAAAGCAGCAATAAATGAAAAAGTAATACTAACGAATATAACAGACTGGGCAACTTATAGAGAATTCATAAATTATAATCTAAATTATAACCTCTAAAAAAAGATTATGATACAAAAATAACAGCATAAACACTAACTACCAGACTACAAACATACTTTGATTGAACATACTTTCAAAAATGGTGATCAAGTTCAGAAATATGTAAAGAGGTGTTTTACATTCAAACAAGCTATTCCTTTCTTAATGGAAACTACCAAGCAACCATCTAAATAGGAATACGGTTCTATGTAGGGTAAAGTTACCTAATATGAGACTCATTTCTTAAAAAAGTCATAACCCTCGACTAAGAACATTTTTATTAAAATTCGATACACGTTTTAAAAGCAAGATATGTATTCTTTTGTAGCCTACTGGAAAGTATAGTAAAAAAATTCGGTTCCTTCATAATAAAATAAAAACGAAAATTGTACAAACACACAGATTTAAAAAATGGGTTCCTAATATGAAACCCAGTTTGTTGTTTGTACCTAAAACTTATTTTTTCTGTCATTTTTCACACATTGCGCATATAAAATCTGTCTTCAGCACCGCAGTCTTCGTAAGCCCACCGGTAACACTTTATACCAGAGCCGCTTAACTTCTTGCTCACGAGCAAATTTCCCCTCCCGAGGTTCCCCCACTATGCTTCTGTGATCGTCCGGCTCAAGTTGTGGCGCGGCGGGAGGAGGACGCGAGGAGCCCGGGTCAGCGCCCGCTAGGTGGCGACGTGGAGGTCGGCACTCCCGCTGATCCGGATCGCAGCGACGGGGATACATATTCCTGGTCGACGAGGTTGCAACGGGAAGCGTCTGTAGCAAGGACCGGTTATATCAGCCCCACTGATGAATGTATGATTGGTCCTGAGATGGGGAAAAACGCTTCTTTTCGTATTTTTGCTCTAGTGGTATATGCATGCTCTCTGTGAGTAATGGCGGGACGTGTCAGGCTGTATTAGACCCACAGATGAGGCAAGATCCCGATGTCGTTGGCACTCTAGTGGAGTACCACAGGTGTAATTACCTGTGTTTTGTCGTCCAGCCCTATTACCTTTCCTTTGGAGAAAGGGGGCCTCCACTGGGACGTGACAACGTGATAACTATGAAGTACACCTTTGAGGTTAAATCTTCAATTATTTAACGATACACTACCAGTAAAGCCTTTTAAAACTCCATTGCATGCACTATTTTACAACCAGTATTTATGAAAATGAGATTGTATTATACACTTACTATTTTGGAGGTACATACTTGTAGTTTAATCGAACCACTTCAAAAACTTTGCGCAACGTATTTCACAAATATGCTTACTCGCGACACTTAATTGATTTTAATAAAGTTTGCTATTTAATTTGATAATTAACACGATTAATTGCGAAACAAAACAGCATCGTTACGACATTCAAGAGTTCTGTAACGGAGATAAGCTGGGGTCTCATATCAGGCAACTTTACGCTACTAATGGAGAAAATACCTTAGATTAAATTATTTTGTAAATTGTTTTCAAGTGTAACGAAGTTGACATAAGAAAACGGGAATTAGTTATGTATCAACTTAATGAATATAAAATCAACATTGCATTTCGTAATAGTACAATGAAAGGAATTTCAATGTTTCATACTCAGAAATAAGTCCATCTATAGAGAATTTGTTACCACAATATGAATTAATAAGTTGCTATGTTTTATAAATTAATCGATCAAAAGTGTGGCGCGTGTTGTGACTACTTATATTAAACTGTCTCAAAATCACATCAGAATAAGTATTTTCGCATAAATACATTATTTAATATTAGATTTAGAATCTAAATGAATAGTACAGCGATAATAAATGAAGTACTCACTCAATACTGCCTCCAGGATCAGCGGATATATCACAAATAGCTAACATTCTGTGAGGTAAAGCAGGCGCACCAATACTTGCTGGTAACCAAGGAGTGTAAGCTGGCCTCAGTAAGTATTTTGCATCTGGTATAGTCAATAATTTAGGTGAACCAACAGCCCAGTATATGCAATTAATTATCACAGACGCATATGGTGCAACTTTTGTGCTGAAAGTGGAAATATATCTCTCAGGGTGCTTGTCACACTCATCAGAATCAAAACCTCCTCCTTCCTTCCTTTCTAGATGATGCCTTCGTCTTACCTCACATCCATATATCTTCGTTGTATCTAAAACAGTTTTTCAGCGTTTTAAATGTATAATGATTTAAAAAAATTTATCTTATTAATTCGAAAATTATTTTCATAATTATCGACAAAAGTACAAGCGTTTCCTTGTGAGCTGTTTAGGATACTTCAGGAAATCTTTTGAAACTAAATAAAATACAAAAAAAGTACAATTCAATGTTCGTAGTGCTTGAATATGCAGGGTGAGATAGGAGGCAGGGTGGTACAACCGGATACGGGGTGATTCTACCGCGGTTGATAAAACAGAAATAGTGTTAAATTTAGAAGTCGAAGCCAGTGGATTTATTTATTTCATGCAGTAATGGCAAACACCTCTATGCTGGCCCCTCTTTTCAACGGGTCTTAAGCACGTGCCCAGTTTGCTTAATGGTAAACGCGGCTCTGATTGACAAACATGAAGCCCGGAGTTAGTCAAGTGCACGCGTACTCGATAGATATTCAAACTCGACTTTCTCAAAAACGGGACTTCAAATGAAAATACTTGTATCCTTTATTTTCGGTTTATTTCTACATATAGAATCACACCCTGCCAACACGTCTTGCCTGACTCTGTGTATAAATATGTATATTGAAATAAAATGCTTACCGCCATGTTCGGCAACTTTTTTCAACATTTCAGGTGGAACATATTCATGAGGAAGTTCTTGAAAAACTTCTTGACCACCTTGACTAACATTGCCGCTACCAGTGAAAATAAAAGTCAACGGTCCAATTGATTTTGGCATGGCACCTAATGCTATTTCGTATCCAGCGTCTCGTATAGCTTGCCGTGCCATAGCAGAATCTCTATAATTGTGCGCTGGTCCAATGTGCTAGTAAACAACAATGTTATTTGTTGTTATTTGTATCATTAATTATAACGTAGCATAATTTTAATAAATTCAATTCTTCAAATGAAACACAATGAGATTATTACATGTATAAATAAAGAATATAGCGAGCAGTATTCTTAAATAGTATTACACCTTTTCATAGTTGACAGTAAAAAAAAATGGTAATAAAGTAAAATGTGAAACGCCTCTACTAATTTCTTATGCCCTTTTTCTTTTCTCAGTGGTTTGCTATGAACTATACAATAGCGCTCATACATTCCATTTATCATAAATACGCCTCTACGACCAATGACTTCATCTTTCGAAAGTTCAGTTAGTATCATTCCAAACACCAACCGAGTAACATCTTAATGTACAATCAGTCTGAGTACTGAATTTTAAACAGTAAGCCAAGTCTTTTTCGCTAACGTTCGGAAATTAGTGCTCTGAGGTTCGGAAATTACTCTCTCTTCAGATCTCCTTAATAAAAATCCACAATTTCCCGTTGTGATCTAAGTTTGCAATACATCGTAAACATATGCAGGATGGCCCAAGTTTTTTCGATTAAACTTTGTCAGTCTGTTCTATGGGTATAAGTAAGAAAAAAATGTTATATAAACATAAGTCATTTGAAGCTTTATTAAAAAGTTATTATAACAATAATGCAAAATACGAAGGGAATGGTAACGACTGTGAGGTTATGATGCAAAATAGGAATAGATCAGCGATATGTATGTACATGGAGTCTGCTTATGCATGTTGTGTTTACTATTTGCCATTTTTGTCTAGTATCATAATAACCTCAAGTTCGTTATTATTCCCTTCGTATTTCGTATTTTTGTTATAACTTTTCAACAAAGTTTCAAACGACCTATGTTTATATAACATTTTTTTCTTACTTATACCTATAAAACATACTGACAAAGTTTGATCGGAAAAAACTGGGATACTCCGTACATTATTACCCTATGTCGCATTCTAATGAGTGATACTTATCGTACAAACAATTAAAACAGAAGGATTTCATACACCATGAACATTTTATAAATGCTGTAACATTACAAACATACTGCTTTTTACATACATCATTAAAAGTTACTGGATTAACGTTGTAAAATATTTCACGATTATCAATAAATTTCTCAGCATACCACGTGTATTCTATCATATTCTTAAACTATAGATGTGGACTAAAAAACTTTTGTAGGAACATTATTTTCATAGCTTCAATTCCTCATGAGATACAACGTAAGATATCTAACACAAGTATTATATGAAAACCTTATAATTTGCTAATATATTATTGATATTTTTTTATGTAATGTTAAATAAAACAAAACATTATTTTTGTTCCGATTAAATTTTTTATATACATATGTATCTTTAGTGTGCCTGCAGTATAAATGTATTTGAAATTATGAAATTAGAAATATGCATTCTCACTATGTGAAACACCATGAAACAAATACAAAAAATACAATAAATCATTTTCAAAATACATTACATAAATGCATAAAATATTGTAGAATAATATAATAAAAATTAAAGATGTAAGAAATATGGATGAAAGAATTGTAAGGGTATTGTATTAAATTGCAATAAATTCTTCAAATAACTGTATTATACTCATACAACTCAATACATAATATGCATTATGTATTCTTAAATTCAAGAACTAATAATTATTTCTTTAGCATGAAAATATTGGAAGAAACCAACAAAGTATTTTATTTATTCTCTTTTTTATAATTGAATAGTTATTTCCAAGTAAATGACTGTAACATTGTGTGAAACATTTTTGCATGTGGTATTCTGTTATGTGTTAAATCTCAAATCATAAAATGTTATGTTAATTTTTAAATTAAAAATTTCACGTTAAATAAAGGCAGTACATTTTTCAATTTTATTTTAGCAACAATTTTTATACGTTTTTAATTTAAATATAGGTG